TCCACTAAAACAAGTTGACTAAATAGTTTTAAAGTGCCTGTGACATGCATATTCTTCAGATGCAAAAAGTCAAAGAAAACATCTTTATATTTAAGTCTATGTAAACGAGCCAAAAATCTAATGTCTAAGTGGCTGAAAGAGCTGAAGTGGTAGCAGTCAAAAGGAAATCTGTTAACGCTGACTCAGCATTCACACAATAATGGCTTTGATGAAAAATTTTTGTGTAGATTTCATGAATTAAAAATACAGTTACATTTATGTCAGCATCTTTTCAGGCTTTATGTTCAACAAAATCCAGAAATATAAATCTTTATATCACATCCAAATCATTCACAGTGTTTCAGAGACTAATTAAGAGTATCGTATCATTTATTTATTTGGGCTGCAACAATACAGAAAATTCTATATATTTTTTCTCCCATACAAAACAGAGAAATTTCCATTTACTTTTTAACTTGAATTTATTGAAATTAATTATGAACATTTGTTTAACCTAAAAAGTACAGTTTTTAAATTAAATGTTGCTGAAACAGCAAGTTTCTCAGTGGATCTGTGCTCAACAATGCAGCCTAGGTGGAGTAGTCGAACACAGATSCACTGATCCTTCAACACAGAGCATCTTCAGAAGACAAGCTGATAAATTAAATTTTAAAAATCTGTTTTGTTCCATACAGCACTGTTTGATACGGGTACATGTTGTTGCACCCCTAGTAAATACTCTTCAGATTGTTTTCAAGTAACTTTGAAAAAAAAAAAGTCATTTGTATGAAAATAGGACATTTTTATGTCAACATTTGGTTGTAGTTTTTTTCCTTTCTAAGCTCTTAAAGTAACTTTTGACCTTTTTGTCGTGTTCTTCTAACATGTCAAATGTTTGATCAACACCCGTTCTTAAATCCGTCTTGTTTTTCTCCACGTGTCTCCGAAGCTTCCTTGGTGACACCGACTTCTCCCTGAGGAGCCAAGAAGCAGACGGCTCATGACTTCTGACCAGGACACAAAAGTTGTAGCTGAACCACAGGTGCAGCAAGTTCAAGAGGCAAAAGAGAGCTCTCATTTGGTGAGTTTAGCACACGTTGTTCACTCTTTTCCTCCACCTGCATTAAAACTGGATAAACTCTCATGTTGAGTAGCTGGTTTCCTGCAGAGCATCAGGTGAGGCTTGAATGGGATTAAAAAGGAAGCTGCTCATTTGTTGGATTATTTTTGGCTTGTTGTGTGACTTCAACAAGTTTTCAACACTCAGTAATCAGTACTGTTAGATTAGTTAAAATTAGTATTTAACATTTTAATAAACTTTTGCTATCAAAGCTTTTTTTTTTTTAAGAAAAGTATGTGCTCATTGTGTTTGTTTCTACTTTTGCAGTCGTTGAATGTATGCAGCGCTTTAATGTGGCTTCAAATTGTGCTGAAAAAACTGAATTACTTGGGATGTAATTTATTTATTTTTTTAAAAGCACTTGAAGCTACCTGACAAACTTCAAATGTGGATGTAAAACCGGAGCCACATCCATAAAACCTTTCATTTCCTTCATTACTAGAATGACCACACTAAGGT